ACGCAATGAATCATTAATAGAATAAAATTAATCTTTTTTTTGTAGGATTAAATATTTTCATACAATGAATGACCGCTTTCTTTTTGCATGTTATCTTTTCGTTATCTAATACATTTTATGAAAAGAAAGAAAAACAAAATATACGATAAGATGCAGCCAAAAAAAAACGTTCGAAAATTTACAAAGAAAGGCTTATTGTTTTTTAATATTCAGTGGATATTTTTGCTATCTAAGCGATTAAAGAAACATGGCTTTTTATTTTATCCTATTTGCGTTTTACTGGCGATGTTTTTCTATGCATAATAATCTAAATCATTGAGATCAAAATTATTTGTTGGCCATCTGCGTTTATCTTTAAAATGCACGATATATCCATTGCATGATGTTAATACATCTTCATGTGTGTTAAGGCTAGATGGGATCGGTACAGGTTTTTGAAAAGTTAAATCACACGAAAACTGAGATCGATTTAAAAAAGCTGTGAATCGAACCGAACGGATTCTATTTCTAGTAAAAAGCAATGAATTGCTTTATTGATAAATGAAATCACCGACGAGCAGCTGTTTTCCCATGAATTGAGCATGTCAAAAAGAACGACTTTAGTATAATCGTCATGTAATAATGTTTCACCAGATTTGAATATAATAACAGATGTAAGTTTATTTTTAGAAACCCCTAATCACGCCATAATTTTATTTAGATGCTTAGTCTTTTACTTGATGTCTTCTCATTCATTTACTTTCTATCGACCAGCAGCATAAACAGATTCTAATGAAACTTATTTGCAGTGTTGCAAATTAATCTACAAGAATTTCTCCATGTCGTCAATATCGACTTAGTTTTATAATCAGCGATCTTTCGAATATTCTGATAGATCATGATTGAACTATGATTTCGTAACCGATTGTAACAGTAAATATTTATTCATAATTCTTTTTTCTTCTATTTATATCAATCCAGGTACTATAATAAAGAGAAAGTATTTATTCAGAAAAAAAGTTCTGTTTTTGTTAGATCAATATTAAGGTCAGAATGACCAATAAATATTATTACAACACATGTCGGGAACAAATTGATCTCTCTTGTGATTCATGAGAAACTTTTATTAAGTTGAGAGACAGTCATAGTTCTAGAGCCGAGTATTACGACTAGGTTTTATCATTGTAAATTTCTCATGGAAAATCGCTATTTTCTGTAAAAATCAGAAAATAAACCGAAAAAAAGAAGTTTTTTTTTTAAGGTGATTCAAGCAGGACTTTAATCACATGAATCGTCTTTTTCTATAAAACAAATTATGTATGTTTAAGATACGCTGATTTTTGTAAATAGTAGATGTTTTCTTGATACATCTTATTGTCTATTTTGGTTTTTTAATCAAACATATTAGGTAACAAAAAAATGACTTGCCAAAAGTGATCATTCATATTGACGCACTCTTATTTCAGATATGATCGAAACATCACAAGTTTGATTTAAGTATTGAATGAGTACAGGAAAAATTATTTTGCCCTTCTGCAATGGTATTTGCGTTTCAAAAAATTAAAAACAGTAATATAAAACAAGTGTTAATATTCTCACACCGAACCATAGTAAATATAGCCCAAAAAGTACTTTAGTTTATTGCAAAAGATAATGTTTTTTTTTCAGTACAAACAATTCAGACAAACTCGTTTTGCAAAGAAACGAATCAATCAAAAACATATTAGTTCGATTAATCAATAAACAAAGATTTACAGAAAACAAAATATCAATAGATTTTATTTTTTATTGGTGGTTTGATAGAGTTAGTTATGAATATATACTTTTTTACTTTTATCAATTTCCTTTTATTGCTGCGAAAACGCTCTTAATATCAATAAGACTAGAGACAAGATCAAAATTACTTTTTTTTACAAATCAACTCTTAAGTTTTTATATTCTTTTGATCTTAAGTCTCTGAAGATATTTCTATTTCCTAATTTAGTATTAAAAACTGAGTAGAAATAAAAACTTAGTTTAAAAAACAAAATAAACAGTATGTTGCAAGTCAGCATAGGAAGCTAAACCGAATTATATACATTTTAGCAAACTCTATTTTAAATAAAAAATCGACTAATCCATCCCCTTTAGCGAGACCCAAAGACAAAACTTGAGAAGAAAAATACTAATGGGCAGTACAAGTGCGTTTTCAGTGAAAAACTGGTTTCATTAAAACATATGTGGTCCATTGTAGATTCTCACGCTAACTTTCAATATGCTGGTTATTTTGTTTTCGACTGAGTCTTGATAATAACAATCGAAATAAACAAGGCCATTTTATGATCTTTTCATTATCAAAACTAGTAAATGTTTAATTTTCTCAATACCAGAATTTCCGAAAATATAACTAATCCAATGAGTACTTTTGTAGCTCGAAAAAGACGGATTGAAATCAGATAAGATATTTGATCTTAACTTCTCTCATTATATAAATAGATAGGCTTACAAAATTGTCTATAAATCCACATATATTGAAAGCGATTTTGTACGTTTTTCATTTTAAGTTTGTTTGTAAAAAAAAAATTATTTTGGATTATATCTGGAGTCCGATCAGTATTTAAAGCTTTTTGCAACGAAACGAGAACTAATGGAAATAAAAAGGTATATATTCATAACCAATTATATGAAATCATTAATGAAAAAACAAATCCATTGAAATACGTCGATAGAATCAAATAATATTTCATTTAGAAGTATAAAGCCATAAGAAATTAGAAATAAGAGAAAAATAGTTGTCAAGAATGAACAATGATTTAAATCTAATCTAGATTACTGAACATAAAACAATTCAGTTTAACTATATATTTTTCGTTTTTTTTCATTCATTTCAATTAATTATTTTATTCGATTCAAATTGTATTCAAAAAAACTAATATTATCTTAAACATGAATGAAGTTAGATATTATCTTTACATTCATATAAATGAAACAATATCTAGTTTATTTATTAATTTTTAGTATAATATTATCAAAAAAAAAATGAATTGAAAAATTTTTCAAAAAGTTTTCAATGAAAATAAATTTCCTGGAAAAACTGTTAAACTTAATCTTTTTTTATATATCATTACTATAAATAAATATTCCTAGAAAAGTAACAAAAATTTAAGTACAATGACAACAGCTTCATCGTCAGATTCTTCGATAATACATTTGTTGTGCTCTTTTCATTTAATTTTTCAAATTTATTTTAATATTGGAACAAGTTATTACAAAAATAAGTCTATATTCTGAAAAGTACTTGAAATTCTCTATTGTATTATACTTTTGTTGACCTTGAGTTTCAATTATTTGAAGACAAATATTTTGAATATTGTTCATCTACCATCACTCTGACATCTTCACTCTCAATTACTTCAAATAATTCATACAACAGCCTACGAATGGTTATCTAGTAATCGAATGAGATTTATGGATAGTTGTTCACCAATCAATCCTGATCTTTATATTATTTAGAGTTTTTATTTTATGTTAGATGAACTACTGTGCACAGATATATCATCCAAATTCTCAACAAACTTGACTGAGGAATGTGCTACGTGAGTACATTAGCAATATTCGAAATAGTTGTTATCAAAAAATTTAAAGTCAAGACTGGTAAAAGTACAGAATAACAAAGAATTTTATATGCTTTCAGAAAATATACTTACCGTTTTAATAGTTAAAAGAAGTTTTGAAAAAAAATAAATGAAAATGGAACAAAAAATGCATTTTTAAAGAATCGAACGAACCGAATACTTTCACTGTATTGGAAATCTATTTTGGCGAATAAATGCCATATTAAAAAAAAGTATATATATACGGTTATAGATTAAGTCCACCTATTATTTTTCAGGAAAATATGTTTCTTTTTTGAGTGTTGTTTAAAGTTATCATAAAATAATTCTGTCATAGAAATATTACCTGATGTTAATTTAATAATGCAAAACATGATCGAAATCCAACTGACTAGATTTCCATTATCTAGTGTCTACTTTATAATATTAATGAATCAGAAAATAGCATAAGAAATTAGTTTTATCAAAGAGTACTATGCTATAATGAATTATTTTAGTTTTTTGATAGTTCATTAGATTTAACGTAAGAAAAAGTGAAGTTTTTCGCTTGGTTTTGCAACATTTTTATCGAGTACGACATCAAATAATTCCAATTTTCAATAAGAAAATATCAAAATACAAATGTTTAACTCTTATTTTAACAAACAATACATGCATTACACATACATTTTATACACTGTGAAAAATCGTTTTTCAATAACAGCTAATATCCAGATAACAAAATATTTATTCATTTAAATAAGAAAAACATTGCATGTTGAATCACAGAACATTGCATAATTTCTGTAGTTGTTTAGCTTTGATATTAATACATGGTATCGAATAAAATTGTAGGACAAAAACTGAATCATTTTTGTTCATCAAATAATTAAATAAGAAAAAACATTTTGATAATAAATTATACTAGTCTTATAAGAAGTAGTAATATCTATTGATTCTATACATATAAAAGTATATTTATTTGATCATAGATTATTCAATCAACGCATAGTAGCCTATATACAATATAGTAAATCAATATTCTCTGATAAATTCAAACAGAATAATATCTATGAAAACTAAATGTCTATTAAACAACGATTATTATTTCATTTAAACACTATATTAATGGTTTTTGTTGACTCTTTTTTATCATTACTATTTATCTGTATTTGTCCAAATGTTCCCTTGTAGTTTCAAAACCTATTGATATCGTTAAGTTCGAGACAATAAAAATGTGGGCGTTTGTGAATAAAAAAAACAATATTTTGAGAACTTACACAGCTGTTCGATTTATACTATATAAGGAGAATTATTTTGGTTAATACAAATCAATAAAGTACGAAAATCATATTCGCAGCACACATACCAATACCAATGTTGTCAAAAACCTCTATTATTATTTTCGTATGCTGTATTGCATATTCATTATCACAAACTTATAAAGAAATGACCTATTCTGATTGTGGTATGTAAAATACAAATAAACTTTCAATTAATGTTTATATCATATAATTAGGATCAAAAAATGTTCGAGTCAGTCGATTATCGTTTCATCCTATGCCTATTATTCAACCAGGAAATGGAAAACTTTCATTTGCAATTGCAGCTACTGAAAAACTTCAAGGTGTTATTAAAGCTAATATTAATATAGTACGTAAAGTTGGTGGCATTGGATTACCTGTTTCATGTTACATTGTTCAAGGTGAAAAAGTTGGCTCATGGTTAGTACTCGATATTGATTTTATTATTTTTTGCTACTTTTATTTTACAGCCAATATGACGACTTTTGCGCTTTATTGAAACGTGTCTTTAAATATGATTCAACTAATTGCCCAGAAGCTCTTACTAAACATGGTATTGATTGCAATTGTCCAGTGAATATTAATAGAAATGATCTTGATATCGACATGGATGTTGTTTTACCTGCAGCACCAGAGTAAATATTTAATTTTTTGTTTTATTTTATATTTATTTATTTATCTATTTATTCTTTTAAGATATGCATCATGGTTAAGTGTCGGTGATTTTGATGTTAACCTTCGAGCAACTGTTGGTAAAATTGAGGGTTGCTATAACTTAAAATTTGCAGTTAAACCTGCTGGAAAACCTTAAAAAAATAAAGCTGGTTCACAATTCTATTTCTTATTAATATAGGTGTGTGTGTGTGTATGTGTGTGTTTATTATAAACAAAGAGAAAGGATTATAATTTGTATTGTTAAATGAATTAATGAAAGGAATAAAACATGAAAAGTATTGATTGAACGCACACAAATAAATGTTTATGTGTTGTCAAAAAGTGGCATTGAGAAATTCTTAGAGTATATCCATTTGGAACTTCTGATACGAGTACTAATGAATAGTCATTTATCAACCAGAAAACGAGAAAGAAAAGCATGCACGAATGATGTGAATTACTACATGTATTGTACTGTTATCCTTACTGTATTGATCTGAAGGAAAGAAATATATTCATGGCAAAGCATAGAAAATATATGATGTTAATGACGATAAAACATATATTTCTGCCTTGAGCTTGATGCTAAGCATAATATAGAAAGAAGAGATAAACGAACGAATAAATAAAAGAGAAAAGAAAAAAGAATCGGTACAAGAAGAGAAAAAGAAGAATATTCCATGCTAATAAGATAAACGACAACTTCTACATGCATATCTGTGCCTGTCGATCACATAGCATATTTGTATATATATATATATCAAACGGTTCATTCTATCAGTTTTTTTTCTTCGATATACTCAATCATATCATACTGATTACTAATAATCTTCATATTTGTAGATGCATTTTTATTATTTTTATCTTTCAATAGTCTTTCTTCTTTTTTCATCTTCATGGGCTTATATTGTTGACGAACATGATGGTAAATGGTCATGGAATAATACAAAGTGTTTAACACGATCTAATTGGACATCATCATTAAAAGCGAATAATAATTCTTCTAAATTACATCATCCAGTATGGTTCATTTTTTATTATCTTAGTTATTGTGGTTTTTGTACAAGAGTTAAACCCGGTTGGGAATCTGCTGCTCAATATGCAGCAGGTGAAAAATTTTTTAATAAGGCAGTAAAACGAAAAAAAAAAAAAGATATTTGACTTTGTAATTTTAGGTTGGTCAAGATATATTAAAATAGGTGCATATGATTGTACTAGTGGATCGACATTAGAAAATGATATTTGTCAAGATAAAGCATATCCTCAATGGCGAATATATTGTCCATTAACAAATTCAACTCAATTAGCATTTGATTCAGAACGAATAAATGTAGATACGAAACCTGAAGATATTTTAATGTGGTCAATAAAAAAAATGAATAAAATTGCACATCAATGTTATGGCAAATCTTGGCCAATTCGAAATGCCATTGAGTAATTATTTCTTCTTTTTTTTTTTCAACAGAACAATCAACCATGAAAACTCTATTCATTTTTAGACCAAAGAATATTGAAGATTTAAATAACATAATTCCAAAACGTATAAAACAATTTCAATTATTCGTTTCCGATGATGTTCTACTTTATAGTCTTGTAAATATTTTTTATTCATATTTTATTTTTCATTTAAATAAATAATTCATTCTTTTTAAGTATGTCTTAAATAATTCAAAAACTGTTTATCAAGAGCCAATTTATCGTTTGGCTATAAAAAATTTCATTACACAAGGTACTGGTATTTGGAAAGGAATGAAAAATGATGATGGACAAATTTCACTTGAAGAGTTAGTTGAAAAAGATTCATTTGAAAAATTATTTTCAATTTTATTTATTAGAATTAATTCAACAAAAGCAATGGACGATTTTGTATTAAATGAAAAGAATACTTCTCATACCAATAAATCTTTAGTGTAATGATATGTTTATCAATATTTCAATGATATAGCTTTGTTCTTTTTATTTTAGAAAAAAAATCGGTTCACTAAAACCGACATTAACTGATATTGATAGTGCTGTGATTTGGATGATTAAAAAAGATCTTCAGAGAAAATTACCAAAACTATTTGATGATGTTAAAGCTTGGCTTAATGCAGTTTATACGGTAAAAATGAAAATTTTTTAAAAAAATAGGCAAAAAAATTTTTTTTTAAATAGTATTATCCTGGAAGTGATTATATGCATAATTTTCTTAGTGATTTAATCAAGTTTATGAATAATCGTACAACATTATCATCAAATGAACTTAAAAATTATATTGATTCAACATCGGTAATTCTATTTTATTTATAGTTTTGACAAAATAGCTGTCTTATAAAGAAACGTCACTAAGTATGACTCGCCAATCGAAATGATATTCTGCAAATAAGTAGATCTCGACGATCTAATAGAAATCTATAAAAGTTTATCATTTTCGCGTTATTACACTTTTACTGCATTGTTTATCTTTAGTCACGGCATTTTTTGAAACAATCAAATTAGAAAATTTGAACCTGAAAATTGATGAATAGATAGATCTTGTGAACTATAGAATGCCTTCAACATGTTAGCCAAAAGAAATGTATTCTTCTTGAAATATAGAATGTTGAAAACTAATCTTTCTTACCTTTTCTTGTGATACATGATTATTTTTGAATATGCAATGTCTCATGAAGAATACATTTCTTTAGGCTAAAATTTTCAAGATATTCTAAGACTCACAAGATCCATCTATCAGCAAAATTTTGAGGTTGAAATTTCCTTATTTGATTTCTTCATAAATATATCTTTCTAAAGATAAAAAGTTTAGTAAAATTGTAAGAAATTAGGAAAGATGAACTCTTATGGGCTTCTAATAGTGTCTCATCGGGATTTACTCATTTGCAACATATCAATTCTATTGGCGAGTCACATTTGGAAACCTTCCTTCGTTCGTCAAAAGAAAAAAAATTCAGATACGATTTCTGGAACTTCTAATTATTTTGATGAATGTGAAACGCTAAGCATTTGTTTGATGTTAACAAGAAGGATTAAGATATATTTTTATAAAATATTATGAAGTATTGAATTACCCTATCGATGCCAATGAATGAATTTTACAAGAGAAAAAAAAAGAAAGAAAAATTCATCATGATTCATTCGAAAAACAAAGCATATACATTTTTATTTCTACTTGGTTTTCATATAGATATTTTTCCAATATTAACATTTGAATGTATAAATTTAGGTTTAAACATCGAGATATTTTCTTTGACAAAAATGATACAAATCATTTTTAATAATAAAATTCTTCGTTTCTTAACTTCCGATACTTCATTATTGATTTCAACACAGATTATTTCATGAAAATGATGAAATAAAAAAGCAGAAAATATTGAATTGTTTTAGATATTCTTTATTCAAAATACAAACTTATCAAATGCCTATTCACCAGATTCGTATAGATAAAGCATTTGTCGACATTTCAATCTCATAATCTAATCATGGGAAAAATAGATCTATATGTATAAACGGTGACCCATATTAAATGACTGCACTTTTCATTGCATATTTTAATCTCTAAACACGTTTTGTTAAAAAAAAGAATGTATGACAAAATGCAGCGTGAAAAGCTCTACGATCTTCAGAGTAAAGTTTATTTTAAGTTTACTTTTTGTTTTTAAAATAAGCAAAATTCTGTGAACGACATCATTTGTTTGAGATGATGAAATTCCTTTTTGCTTATTTTATCAATTAATGAATGGTTATTTTCAAATCTATCCCATAGCATATTATGGGTAATATAGCATCCCATCCGTAATAATGAGAACATTGAGATTAGAACTATTTGGTGGCCACCCATGATTGTCTATAAGAGGCATGAAGTTTTTTTAAACTATGCGACTTGTTTCTTATATGTATGTAACGTGATGAACTCTTGTTGACATGTGAACTCAACGTCTAGGAGCTGTTTGTCTTTAGATTGTGCTTGTGGAAAAACAACTTCATCATAATTTTCATGTAATAATGTTTTATCAGATATAAATATAATAGTAGGCGTAAGGCCATTTTTAGATGTACATAAACACACGCTAATTCTTTTTTGGATACTCAGCGTTTGGGTTTATATTTCTTATTCGCCTGTTTTTTGTCAACTGGCAATGTAAACACGTTCTAGTGAGAAATATTTTTCTGTCAACTAATAGAATTCTCCACAATCGATGAGATGAGAAAATGAACTAACCGATTACTGAAAACTGATTATGTGTACAGCATCAAAAATTGGTTGCACAGACTTTTGCTTATTTAATTTATTTTAAAAAACGAATTTAGAGATTAAAATATAAAATGCAAAGTGCCACCATTTATTATGCGCCATCCAGTATATATATGGACTATTTTAAACAATATGAGACCCGCCTACCTTCTATTTGACTTTGACTCTTTATGAAGGTTATTTTTCTGTATAAGTTCTTTTAACATAGACAGATATGAAGATACTAGCTCATTCAGCTAACTATTCATTGAACTTAATTAATTAAGCCTTTAGTAGCTATCTTCGTATATATATGTGTCATGAGCTTTATGATCACAGAATACTGATGATATCTCTAATAATGTGTATATTTTCGATATATTTGTGTAAAAGCAAACGTCAAACAGCGGAAGCTTTTCATATTATCATGTTATCAGAACCTATGTTGGACTTCGGCATAAAGAAACAATCATATATCTGGTGCAAAGTTACGCTATTTTGCAGATGCATATTTCTGGTTGATAATCAAAAGTTTAATTATTTAATTAAATTAACTGACTAGTCAAAATGATTATATAGTGAAATTAAATAAATTAATTAATAGTAATTAGCAATTATCTTTCTAATGTACGAGAAAAGAATTCAAAAACTTCAGAATAGATTCTACAATATGAAGCTCTTCGTTGGTGAAATTTTCAGCAAGATCGAACGTAAAAAAATTTTCCATTAAAAATCGGTTTTCTAGAAACCTATCAAGTCTCAAAACAATACTTATTATCTGATCATTGTTTAGAGATTTTGAAGAAGATTTTGTACCGTTTAGAATTGGTTGTAAATCTCTCATTCCTTAAAGTGAAAGTCAACTTTCTTTTTTGTATCAGGCCACTAACGCTAGCTTTTTTACTGTTAATTCTTCTAAACAGAAGTCTGTAGCACTGATTTTTTCTGAATATCTAGAAAAACTTAGCATACATGTAACCTATAAAACTTAGCTCTAGGAAAGTTCATTTATTTCGAGATACAAGTGTTTTAGTTTTGCAAAGTCACGTCGCTAACGAATGATTTTGCTCCTATATTCTATAAGAAGGAAAATTTTCCATTGTTTTGAGTCTTATTATAATACTAGTTAAATTTGAAACATTCATTCTATAATGAAAAATATTTTAATTCTTAATTTATTTTAATAGGTAATCAAATTACCAGAAGTGAAATTCGATCACTGTAATGGGTCTGATACGAGTAAACGTGGTTATACATGTTCATTATGGCTTTTATTTCATAGTATGACTGTTAAACAGGCAATACTTCATGAACAAAATTTATGTAAGTTCATAAGAAAAATAAATTCATTAAATATTTTTTTTAACTTCAACTTTTTAATTAGTACCATCAAATGTAAAACCATCAGATATATTCTTATCAATTCGCGAATATATTCGAAATTTTTTTCTTTGTGAAGAATGTACTAAGCATTTTCTTAATAAGACATCGAATGCTGAACATGAAATAAAATCTTTTAAAGAAAGTGTTTTATATTTTTGGCGAGGTAATCAATGTATTATATTTGATTATAACAATTCTAAATTATTTTATTATATAGGTCATAATAAAGTAAATAAACGACTACAACATGAACAAATGTCAAATGATCCAGCTTGGCCAAAAGTACAATTTCCAACAAAACAACAATGTAATTCATGTGTTCTTCAAATAGATGAAAATAATGATGCTCTAGAATATGATGAAAATGAAACATACAATTATTTAAAAGATTATTATAATTTACAAAATATTACTAATCAAAAAGTTTTATCTAATAAAACAAATACAGCAACAAATCGACAATATAATCATTTATTATTAATTATATTTACATTTATTGTTACCTTTTGAACAAATAATAGGTTTCACTTAGGATAGAATTTTGATTTTGTCTATGATTTGCTATTACCTATCGATTATATGTTACAAATCTTTTTTCTGTTTACTTATTTTGGCATTCGAATAAATAAACTAAAGATTCTCATGATTATGGATAAATTATTTTGTATTAGTCTCAAATAATAATTTTCTTTATTCATCCTAACTTTTGAATCATATTAATAGACAAACTAAACTAATAGTATAAATACTGTTGGATAAGATCGTAAATCTTTCACTGTTTCAGATTTTACTTTCAATAGATTAGAAAGATAGGGCATGAAATTTTGTATAATTTTATGTATTTTGTTTTTGTTTTGTTGGAAGCAAACAGAAATTTTCAAGGACTAAATAGTCTTAGCGAGGTTTATCACTTTTGGACGCTACGAATAATAACTATCGTACACTAATGATTCATCGATTATAAACTTAATATGACAAATAATAGCGTTGATCAATGCGGTTTTTTACGCTAGATAAATTAACATATCGATTATGTTCACTGATTGATTTATGCAGCGTCAGATAGATATGATAACATATACTATTTGACCCTGGATATATTAATCTATGAATCTAATCGATATGTTAATTTATCGAGCATAACAAACTGTATCGATTTACGTTAATAGTTTTTATATTGGATTTATAATAGAAAAATCACGAGTACCATAGTTGTTATACGAAGAGTTCAAAAAAAAATAAATCTAGATAAGACTATTTCGTTGTCGAAATTTTGTTTTGCATTCAGCGAAAGTCAAGCAAATAGGCAGAAATATGCAGAACTTCAAGCTCTATGTTTCGAACCTATTGAAAATGACATATCAAGAGATGACACGTTCACGATGTCATCTCCCGGTGCCTTGTCTTAGATCAGAACCAGTGTCATCAATTTATGAAATTGAAACTTGATAATCGCACAACGATATATATAGATTCTGTTCTCTTTTTGAAAGACTAAAATATTCATCAGCATCTCGACATCTAATTCATTTTGTTGCAAAAACAATACTTCTCAAACATATGTATTTCGATAATCGTTTAATGTCAATTCTACAAACGTCAAGTTCCATCTCTACCATGGCTTTGCTTTTCGATCTGTGATAGCGACATGAATTGTTTTGTGACTGTTATTTATACCTTGCATCTTTCTTCTTTTTTTGAAGCTCAAATCTGTGGCATCAGTTGAGCGTACTTTCTCACTCTATAATCAATTTACTTTTTTAAGAAAATATAAAATTCTAGTTTGTTACTTCAGCACAACTTTCATCGAAAATATTTATAACACATGAATAGCTCACACTTCTATCACGACGCATTTAGTAACGCGCGCCAACATGTCATCAATCAAAAACCAAAAAAAAACCAAACAATAAGCTAAGCTACACTATACTTCATATGATATATTCAATGCAAATATTATTATTATATTAACCTTGACCATGAATAATAATAATAATAATAATAATAATGATAATACTGAAGAACTTATTAGGTATCTTCTTCAGTATGGAATATCCGATAGAATGATTGCGATTGTTGAAAGTAAATATTAAATTACATTTATAGATTGTCTCTTCTTTTCTTTTTTAAATAGAACAACACATTTGTGATGAAGATTTACAGATGATGGATCGTGATGATGTCGAACATTTATTTAAAAATGAATATGGTTTTACATTTCGTGATCGTAAACAATTTTGGAATATATTACAAAAAATTGTAGACAATCAAAAATATTTATTTAAATAATAGTTTTTTTTTGTATTGTTTTCTTATTTTAGCAATCAAATCAAAATTCTAAAATAAAACATGGACGAATTCTTGATTCATCGGTATACAATTTTTTTAAATCTACATTGATGAAGAAATCCTTGTTTTAGGCAATTCTTGAACATATCTATGAATTTACTGCTGAAGACCTTGACAATAATGATTTAAAAGAAAGACAATCTATTACATCTTTATCATCAAATATAAATCGACAATCAACTGTTATTAGTCTTTTTGATAATAAAACATTAAATGATGATAGTAATAATTCAAATTCTTCATCATATATTTCAGAATTATCATTATCATCTGATTATGTATTTACATATCCAAGCATATTACCATGTTTTTCTGCTAAAATCAAGGAAGCACTTACAACAAATACAATTCATAGACAATGGGCAACTTTCATTAATGAACTTGCTCGATGGGTTATGTCAATAAAACCATGTCTTCGTGAACAACATGAATATCAAGCTATTGGACAAACATTATATGAAAAGTATCCCTGTATAGGTACAACTGGTCCAAAACCTTGGTCATTTTTATGTCGAGGTCTTAGTCAACGAATTCGAACAGAAAGATGGCAAAGACGAAAGACATTTACAGGAAGAAAACGAAAAGAAAGTGACATGAAAAACAATGATGGAATTTATGACAATATGTGATCGGAAATTCTTTACTTGTCTTTTTCTTTTTTGAATTATTTCAGGCCCTTTTTCTTTTGCGGGCTAACATATAAGCTTTAACATATTAATTAAAGATTTATTTTTGGAAATTTTTAAAAGTTTTGATTTCGTCTTGATAATAATTAGATATGAATGAATCCGTATTCGTAATGCGTACATAAGATAAATCAATCATAAATTGTTGTAAAAAGTTGCCCAAATTGTACAACTTTAATAATTAGTCTATTTAAGAAATTACCGAAATTGATATTCATCATTTGAGATCATATTAGACCTTATTGTATGTGCAGTCCAGACTTAGATACATACCGAAAAGTCAAAAGGCAGAATTTTGATGTGAAATATTACCCATATATAGACCGAATATTACGTTGAATATTTTATTGTTCTTTTATCGAGATATCTAATTTATGAAAAACAATTGTTTACTACAGGCATAATACTAATATCGATCGATATGCTCGGAGCTAAAGTTCCATTATTTGTATTTCTGCCAATTATTGTTTCAATGATGTGATTATCGATAGTGCCGGTTTTTGATGATCTTTATTTCGATGGCAGAAATTATCAGAAATATGTTGAGATGATATTTGTAGTCTTAGAAATGTTCTAAAATTATGTGCATGAATACTAATTATACTTAGTAAATCTAGTGAGCTGCTAAAGTAATAACTAACTAACATAAGTAACTGTGTAAGTTCATGTCTAGTTTGACAACTAAGAAAATACCAAATCGTAATCATGATGCACACGTTATAGTTGCACAGATGCGATAAACCTAGAATAGTCAAAAAGTTCGTGTACTCGCAAATATTGATTCATAGAAAAAAATATTTTACTAATCTGTTTACAGTAAATGTTCACAGTAATCTCCAGGATATTCAATACAAAGCTTCATCTTTCGAATCGATTTCTAGAAAATCTTTTGGCATCCTGAACAGATATTTAGTTAAGTTCTTTGATTATTGCTTGAGCCAAACTTGTAATATCTGGATATGTATCAACGTTACTTTTCAAGCGATTGAACAACTAGAATTGTGAAGGCGCAAGGTCAGAAGCAGAGATGACAGTGGCTGGTTTTTTGACTCGACCTGCCAATCCGATCTGTCCGAGACCGAACCCAACCCACTTCCTGGGTTGAAGAATCACCAACCCGCCACAATCTGCTCACAAGCTAATACAAACTTTATTAGTATACTAGTTACTTACAAATCCATTAGGTTTTTTATTAACCTATTTTATTTTTTTATATGTGAAACTAAGATTTTTGTAATTAGAATATTATTTGTGATTTATGAGCATAGACATAATTGTTTTAAAATGTCAATAAAAATGCAAGACCGGCAATAGTGAAGTAAAAGTGAGTATATGGTCATGCATATAATATTAATAAACCAGGCATAACTTGAGGATAGAGTGAATTTGATTCTTCTTTTTACACGTATCCCTTTAATCGAACTGAGAGAGAAAAGTGCATTTATCATCGGGTATACGAAAGTTCTGTACTAATTGGTTTTTTATATAGTGCTATGATCAAATATCGTAGAGGCTTCATTGTTCTTTTGTTAGAAAGAGTAGTATTTAGTGGAAAAATACATGAAAAGATTTGGTTGGAAATTTTTTTCAAAGACTAAAAACAATTTTTGAACAAAAGAAATTAAAAAACTCTTTCGCAACTTTGGTCATAACTTTTTATCAAAAGATATTTCTTTGAGCTTTTTGATCATTCACTTTCGATCTTATCAAACACCGTATGTATATAAGTGTGCCTTATAATAAAGGCTTTGGTTTTGTATCAAAATATTTGGTTTTTCATAAAAGAGAATAGATATCGGATAAAAGTACTACAAAACTTAATTTAGTCTGTTTTGAATTTATGAAAAGAAAAACATGTTTCGCTAAATATCTAAAAGTGAATCTCTATCCTATTCCAAATGGTGTCGTTTTGCAGAACTCAATAAGTGTTCTTTTTGTACAAAATTTATAACTTCTGGCAACCTCTTTCTTAGAATAAACTTCATTTTTTATGACTGTAATCGACAGAGATGAGAAGCATTCATGTCAGATAATATCACAAAAACGTTTATTTCGCCCATTATAAAATATATGCAGAGAGAGTTTTTACAGCAACAGTGTTATATTCCTATCTTGTACAACTCACATTCAACGAATAAACATATAATCAATTTAATGCCATGATATCTTTTCTAGATTCAAAATAAATTGCGGAAGAGTTTCCGAAACTTTCTGTGTAAAACCTCTTCTGGTCTTTGAAGAAAATTTCCAATCGAGTTCTATGATTTATTTTTTCACTAGACAGGTTGTTCCTTGTAACAAAAAAACAATGAAATCTGTGCGATATTCCATCGTAGTGCTATATCAAAAAACAAAATCAATGCAGAATGTTTGTATTGCTGGAATGAAAAGCGAACTTTGTCAACGAGTTGAACAAGATTGAACCTGCAGGTGCACGTAAAACTAAAATCTGATCTGAAAACTCTGAAATCATGA